TATCAGAACAACAAAAAGTGTGACAAATCAGATTCGCCTCAAAACATTCCACTGTATTTTTCAATTATATTTTGGGGCGAATCGGCAAGCGTGGCAAAAATGAAGAGACAGTCAAGACAGAAACTTGAATGGAAGTTGATAAACCGGCTGACCTATGAATGACCGTCTCACTATAATCCCTCACATTAATTAGAATATGATACAGTTCACTATTAGTATGATAACAATCTGGCCTGACTCGCTGAAGTCTATCTTTATCGCTGATGTACAAGCTGCATGCTTATTTTATTCATTTATAAACTGAACCCTTTTATTTTTTTAGGCTTCATTGAGATTAACTGAAATGCTTTAACGGGCACCTATTATGCAAAAATCACTTTTATAAGTGGTTTAAACACAGTTGTGTGGCAGCATTGTGTGAATATAACCATCTTCTAATAGTAAAAAAATAATGAATTCCTTTTTTTATAATCACACTTGATTAAAGCAGTCTGCAGAAACACTTTGATTGGCATTCTTCATTCGTCTGTGTCAAAAGCATCTGCTTAATGACTATCATACACCCGGCGCAGTGTGATGCAAGGCATGGCGCAGTAGTCTTTTGGTAGTTTAAGCTTGGCACAAGAGTCGTTTTGAGGCGTTGCGCTACGCTGTTTAAATAGCAAATGCATTAGTGCTCATATGTGCGCCCATAGGCGTTCTGGTCAAAAAAGGGAGGCGTTCTGAGGTGGACCGCTGGCGCGTTGCTATTTTGAGAAACTATAATAGATTTTTCATTAGACCAAAACAAACCCGGTCTAAACTCCGGCACAGAGTTGCACCTTGCTTACACACTGCTTAACACGCACAAGAGAGCAATAGGCAGATATCTTTACATATGAAAAAATGTAAATATTAAGGATATATATAGGATATAATAAGAATAGATATAGGATATAAATATAAAGGATTAAAATATTACAAAACATATTATTTTCTAGCCTACATAAATATGAAAAATCACTGCTTTTATGTCTTCTTCATCTCAGGAGGCTTTTTCAGTTCATTCATAACAATTTGCTTTTGTATAATGTTATTATTATTAGCAGTATTATTTATTATATCCATATTTATATTTGTTTAATTAAAAACAAGCTTAGATTTGCCCACCTGCAGGTTTTAGACCATATGGGGCACAGCATGTGTTTTAGGATAAAACTCAGGTTTTTGAGCACATTTTGTTATTATTGTTCATTTATTCGTTTGCTGGAAATCAAAACTGAATTTAGAAATAGTTTTGAAATGAATATTTGCGCTTAACAAACAAAATTTTTTATTTATAGACTAATTGATGTCTGTGCATAAAGGTTTCCCTATCCAAGAGCGAAAGTGAAAGTAGATCCATTATCTCTCATTCTCACGCAGTAGATGCTCTGTTTAACAGTTTTCTGCAAAACACTGTTAACTGTTTGCTAGTGAAATGCTCATTTTTTCCACTTAGACTTTGCGTCCTGTAAATAGCGAATGCGCTCTTGGCGTGACGCAGCTGACTCTTAAAGGGAATGGGAGATGAGAATCTAATTGGTTTATTCTCAAAACACACCTATAACTCATTAAGAAAATAAACTCAACCCTTTTAGACCATGCGCTGCAGCGCAAGGCAGATTTCCTGTCCTTAAATTAGCAAAAACACGTCCTGACATGCCCTGAAAGCGTTTGCGCCCTGCATTTTGCGCTCTGCGCATGGACCGTCAAAATAGAGCCCTAAAAGTAAATTTGCTGATGAAATAGCTATAGTAATATAATAGATACGTATATCATAAGAAATATGTTTAACATCAATGCATATTTGCCCAGTATTGTTTAACCCTAGTCATGGCTACAGTGACTTCATGAGTGCGGTCAGTGAGACGGTGCTTTAATGCTATGTGGTCAGTGGTGAAAAATTTTTTTTTTACAATCTACTGCATACAATACTCTCAGAAAATATGCAACATCTGACAACAACTGAATTCCAGTAGGCTCAACACATCTGGGGTGCATCAAGCTCAACAGAAAACATTATTTTCAGCAAACAAAGCCAGCTCCTGGAGGTCCTGGACACAGGCTTTGCTCATAACCGTCTCTCTTTCTTCATTCTGTTCTCTTAGTCAATCAAACTCAATCAGCTGTTTCAGAAACAGCTGGATTTAAAGATAGTGATGCACAGATGTAATTGACAGCAGATTCTAAACACATCTCAACTGATTAGAAATTCAGAGATGCTTTAAAGAATAACCATCAAAGCATGTCACAATAAACAATAAACCCACTGAAGTATTGTGCAATACATATAAAGAATCTCAATTATATATATATATATATATATATATATATATATATATATATATATATATATACAGTTAAAGTCAGAATTATTAGTCCCCCTGAAGTAAATAATTTTTAACTAGATATTTTTCAATATTAAGTCAAATTTATACAAAAAATCTATACTTCTATACAGCCTAAAGTGACATTTAAAGGCTTAACTAGGTTAATTAGATTAACTAGGCAGGTTAGGGTAATTAGACAAGTTATTGTATATCGATGGTTTGTTCTGTAGACTATCGGAAAAAAAAATTTGCCTGAAGGGGCTAATAATATTGACCTTAAAATATTTTTTAAAAAATTAAAAACTGCTTTTATTCTAGCCGAAATAAAACAAATAAGACTTTCTCCAGAAGAAAAAAATATTATCAGGCATACTGTGAAAACATAATATATATATATACACACAGTGGTACTCCTGTGGTACTGTTTTTTATATATTTTTTTAATGTATATTTTCCAAGTGATGAAATACATGTAGACAATTTCTAAATCATAGTTCAATGTTTACCAATGCCTTATTAAAATCCAAATACATGCTTGATAACATTAGGTAATGCACCATGTGTTAACATGAACTTACAATGGATAACTGTATTTTCATTAACTAACACTAACAATTATTAACAAATCCTGTAACGAATGTATTGTTTAATGTTTGTTTATGTAGGTAAATGCATTAACTAACAACAACTAATACAACTGTGTTGTCACAATCACCGGCGATCGAGCAGTTGCAGATCGCTGGAGAACTACACGTCACTGAACTGGACTATAAATATTATACTACAATGCAGCAGATTTCCCCTGATTGCGCACACACCACTGGAACCTCATGGCTCATGATAGACTGATGTAGGACTATATATGCATCTCACTCGCACATACACTTTGCTGAGTCTTGTTTTCCCTTTGTGGCACTATGAAGCGTTCCATTGTCTTGCCTTGCCGAGTTTCAGACTCTCGTCTTGTCTATTGTTTTATGTTGTTTGCCGCCTACTGATCTCTTCGCCCGTGACCCCGACTACTCTTGGATTGCCTGCATGCTTCTGTCTGTTCCTGTTGTGACCTTTACCTGACACTCCATTTTCTATCCTTAACTCTGTTGCCAGTGTTGAATGTTACAATTGTGAAGTGATACCATTTTTCGGGAAAAAAGTGTTTATTAACTGCCAGTTCAGCAACTTCCGGCTATTTCAAACTAGATTCAACATAGATAAAAGTAACATAAAATAAGACAAAACAAAAATAAATGCATAAAAATAGAACATTTTACATAACAAACATTAGACTTTAACTAGTTAATTAAAGTTTGCCAAGACAAACGTTGAGGCTGGCTTGAGAAAGCCTGTTGGTAATAGTTTATTTAGTTTAAAACTGTTTGAGGATGGATGGATGGATGGATGGATGGATGGATGGATGGATGGATGGATGGATGGATGGATGGATGGATGGATGGATGGATGGATGGATGGATGGATGGATGGATGGATGGATGGATGGATGGATGGATGGATGGATGGATGGATGGATGGATGGATGGATGGATGGATGGATGGATGGATGGATGGATAGATAGATAGATAGATAGATAGATAGATAGATAGATAGATAGATAGATAGATAGATAGATAGATAGATAGATAGATAGATAGATAGATAGATAGATAGATAGATAGATAGATAGATAGATAGATAGATTGCTAGGGTTTAGTATCTGGTTGTTAGGGTGTGACCAGATAGTTAAAAGGCCATCAGTGATTGGCTGCTGGCTAGACTGAGTTAAATGAGCTCAGCCATTAGTCTGTTGGACAGTCTGATGTAGAGTTATGAGCTCATAAAGTTTGATCCAATGTAAAGTCAATGACAGTCTTTTGAGTAGAAGTCTATGGGACAGTTTCTAGGGTGCCAAAAGTTGTTGCTAGGGCGTGGCCAAAAAGTTAAAAGCTCATCAGTTATTGGCAGTTAGGTAGTCTGAGTTAAATGAGCCCAGCTAGAAGTCTGTGTGACAGTCTGACGCAGAGTTATGAGCTCACAAAGTTTGGTCCAATGTTAAGTCTATGGGATTTTTCCAACGGTCCCAGGACGTTTTTTGGAAAACCAAAAGTCGGATCAGTCGAAAAAGATATAGCACACCGAGTCAGACCAGTTTGGAGGTCTGGTGTGAGTTTGGTGGTCATAGCTCGAAAACTCTAGGAGGAGATAAAGTTTGATTTTTAGGCTCAGAAGAAAAATAGTTTTTCAATAGATTTCAATAGTCTGGCTTATTTTCTCAAGCCAGCCTAATTATCAGTCCTGATTGTCAATAAAACAAATCACTGTTATACAATGACTTGCCTTATTACCCTAAGTTTACTCTAATTAACCTAGTTAGGCCTTTAACCCTGTAAAGCTCTCTGTTGCAGAATTACATCACTTTAAAAAATAAATAAATAAATAAATGCAGTCATTTTAAGCTGAATACTATCTTGAAAAAATATCAAGTAAAATATTATTTACTGTCATCAAGGCAAAAATTTAAGAAATCAGTTATTAGAAATGAGTTATTTAAACTATTATGTTTAGAAATGTGTTGAAAAAAATCAAATATTAAGGAAAAATATACAGAGGGCTAAGAGTTCTGGCTATATTACATGTGTTTGCTTTGTAAACAGGGCCGTTTAAAGACTGTCTGCAGGCTCTAGAGGAAGGACACAGCAACAGCGGCATGTTCCTGCTGAAGCCAGAAAACACCAACAAACTGATGCAGGTCTGGTGTGATCAGAGACACGACCCCGGCGGCTGGACCGTCATTCAGAGACGCATGGACGGATCCGTCAACTTCTTCAGAAACTGGGAGACATATAAGGTCAGAAAGTCATGTTCGCTCACTAGCTGTGTTTCCCTCCACCTGCATTTTTTTATCTGCATTTTGAAATATGGCATAAAAAATAGGCAACATTTTACTTGAAATAGTGTTCATAACACTGTCATTTACCCTTTATAATCATGACTTGCCGCCCTCAAGGAATTGAGTTTGAGACTTGTTGTAAATGTTGTTTTGCTCACTTTAAAATCCCTCAGCTAAAGTCTGCCATCACAGTGGTTCACTATTATTATTATATTATTCCTCCCTCCATAACTGTCTTAAGCATCTCTCTGTGCTCCCAAAGAGTGTCTCACACCTCTAAAAGCCACCACATTTCATTTACTGCATTTTGTCCTCGTTTTCTGAGGCGCAACTCATTTATTAGAGAAGACTACAGTGGCTTCTTCGAATGCACAAAACTACAATGCTCTGTCTGATATTTGGTGTCAGTTTATCAGGAAGTGATGATTGTGTTCTCTTTGACTCATTAGATGGAAACGTTGCTTAATTCACAAATGTTTTATGTGGAATTCCAGTCTAACTCATATCTTTGGATAATAACACAGCCAATGTCAACAAATACATCATGCAAATACATGCATAAAGTGTTCATATTGATGTCACGCACGCAGACGTCACTGAATGGCAGATCTCCAGTGTGTCGTGGTTAGTTAAAGTAATGAATCACACATTGCTGTTTGTGCTTGGAGAAATGTAGATGACTACATGCATAAATGTTTCAAGCGGTCATGTTCTCTCAGCAAACGGCAATGTTTTTTCTGAGTTCTGAATTCATGCAGAATATTGCTTTTTAATGGCAGTGGAATTTTGTTATGCAAGCTGCGCAAGGGTTTCAAACAAGGGCCAGGGCATTTCCAAGGCTTTGTCCCCAAAAACACAACGCCAGACAAAAAACACTCCGTCCATGTCATCAGGACTAAAATCAGGACCAGACGGAAAGAGCCAGGGTCAGGAGGAATCCTAATGAATAAATATCCACAAGGCTCTGAAAATGCTTTCTGAATGAACAAATACAATAGAAGTAAGCAAATAAATAAACAAGTAAGCTGGCAAGTAAATAAGTAGGCAACTAATTAAGCAAGTATGTAAGTGAATAAACAAGCAGATACAAAAATAAGTAAGCAAGAAAGTAAGTATATAAGCAAGCAAGCAAATAAGTATGAAAGTACATAAGTAAATACATAAACAAGAATGTAAATAATTAAATAAGTAAACAAGTAAATAAATAGCAAGTAAATAAGAGAGCAAGAAAGTAAATAAGTAAACAAGTAAATAAGTAAACAAGTAAACAAGTAAAAAAGCAAGTAAGCAAGAAAGTAAATAAGTAAAGAAGCAAGTAAATAAGTAAGAAAATAAGTAAATAAGCAAGAAAGTAAATAAGTAAACAAGTACTTAAGCAAGTAAGCAAGAATGTAAATTAATAGGTAAATAAGCGAGCAAGAAAAGTAAATAAGTAAATAAAAAGATAAGTAAAAAAGCAAGCAATTAAGCAAGCAAGTAAATTAGTAGCAAATAAATAAGTAAATAAGCAAGCAAGTAAAGTAAATAAGCAAGAAAGTAAGTAATTAAGCAAACAAGCAAGTAAATAAGTAGCAAATAATTAAGTAAATAAGCAAACAAAGTAAAAAAGCAAGTAAGTAGATAATTAAAAATAAATAAACAAGTAAATAAGCATGTAAATAAGAAAATAAGTAAATAAGTAAACAACTTAATAGGTAAAAAAGCAAGAAAGTAAGTAAACAAGCAAGTTGGCAAGAAAGTAAGTAAGCAAGCAAGCAAGAAAGTCAGTAAATAAGTAAACAAGTAAATAAGCAAGTAAGCAAGAAAGTAAATAAGCAAGTAAAAACAAAAATAAGAAAATATGTCATAAACAGGTAAATAAATAAGTAAATAAGCAAGCAAGAAATTAATAAATAAGAAAGAAAGTAAATAAACAGGTAAATAAGAAAGCAACAAGGAAGTAAATAAGTAAATAAGGAAGTAAGAAAATAAATAAGCAAGCAAATTAGTAAGCAAGCAAGCAAATACGTGGACAGTAAAAAGGTAAATAAGCAAGCAAGTAAAGTTGATAAGAAAGCAAGAAATTAAATAAATAAGCAAGAAAATAAGTACATAAGTAGATAAATAAGAAAATAAATAAATAAGTACACAAGTAAATAAGAAAGCAAATAAGTAAATAAACAAGAAAGTAAGTAAATAATAAGAAAATAAGTAAATAAGTAAATAAATAAGAAAATAAATAAATAAATAAATAAATACATAAGTAAATAAGAAAGCAAGAAAGTAAATAAGCAAGAAAGTAAGTAAATAAGTACACAAGTAAAAAAGTAAATAAGAAATTAAATAAGTAAATAAGCAAGAAAGAAAGTAAATAAGTAAACAATTAAATAAGTAAATAAGCAAGAAAGAAAGTAAGTAAATAAGCAAGTCAAAAAGTAAATAAGAAAATAAGTAAATAAGTAAACAAGTAAATAAATAAGTAAAAAGCAAGCAAATAACTAAATAAGCAAGCAAGAAAGTAGTAAATAAGCAAGCAAGCAAGAAAGTAAATAAGTAAATAAGAAAGCAAACACATCAGTAAGCAAGCAAGTAATTAAGTAAGCAAGTAAGTAAATAGGCAAGCGAAAAAGCAGGTAAATAAAACATGCAAATAAAACATTATAAATAAATAAATACAAAGAAATCCCCATTGCAAGTCTTCATGGCACACTTTACAATAGATGGTATACTGCATTTATACTTTAATAAATAAATATGCATTAAAAAGCATGGATATCTATAATAGTGGCGTCAAACAATTAATCATCATTTATTGTTTATTGATTATCGAAGATAAACATTTGTATTTTATTTGTATAATATGTGTACTGTAAGTATTTATGTATATATTGTATGTATAAACACACACACACACACACACACACACACACACACACACACACACACACACACACACACACACACACACACACACACAATGTACATACACTCAAAAATCTACAAATATTTTAGATTATTATTTACAATTATGAATGATCATTTATCACAAAGAGCATTATAAATACTTGACAACCTCCAATCTGTAAGTATAAAATCGTGCGTTATTTATCACATTTTTCCGTTTATGCTCATCGTCGTGCTTTTCCACAATTATTATAAACGGCTAATTATTTGTAGCTTCTGAAAGTGTTACCAGTTCATAAACCAGCACATCTGTAAAGATGTAAAAATAATTTAATCTGGCATTCAGCATCAGTGATCTCACTTTGCATGATCCGTCAACACGCAACTTTTCAATCTGAATGCAACGTTAATGTTGCGTAAAGATTCTATAAAATTTCTCCACTGTTTTCCATGGAAAAAACCATCCGCATTTGGCATTGGGAACACCTCAAGGAAATAACATCAGAAGTGTGTTTTCTGGTTGAATTCTGTCTTTAAACAGAGTCATGCAGCAGACGTCTGGAGAAAATCTTTAGCTGATTTCTCACATGCACCAATACATTCTGTTCCTGTTTCCTGACGCTATATTAGGTGTTGAACTGATTTCTGCTTGACGTAAGATGTAATTAATGTCCACCGACAGCTAGTTACGTTCATTCTCAGGTGTTTGAGACCGTGTTCAGACCTGTTTCTCCTGAATGAATGATGACTCCTGATGCTGAGACGGCTAAACACAAACACATGCAAACTGTTGGAGTTCATTTCAATCTCACTTTCTGCCAAAATCCAGGATCTGACAGAGAGCATTTAAAACTAGAATGAGCTGATTAAGTCTGAATCAAACTATGAGCAACAAGAGACTTCACCTTTCAGTCATTTTAGTATGGTTAGACATATTACTGGAAATTAATATTTTTTTTAAGTGATAAATTAATGCCATGTGTTTGTATAAAAAGTAAATTTAAAAAAATAAAACAAATATTAATATTTTACCAACTCTATGCTTAAACACACCTAATGACTTCACTAAATCTTCAAACTGAAAATTATTCATTAAAAAAGTATTTTTCCTTAGCTGTTGATATATTTTACAAAACAGACGTATATTACAAACAATATTTATACAAACAAATGCAATGTTGTTACTTTACGAAACTAACAGAAATAACACATTTAATATTCACACCCCAAAACACTAAATTGAAATAAATAAAAAAGCTAAAATTAAACAGATAAAGAAAAAAATAAAATAAAGAAAAATAAAGATAAAGGAAAATGCATACAAATAAGAAAGAAATAGAAAGAGATAGAGCGATAAAGAAATAAAAAAGAAAGGAGGAAAGAAAGAGAGAGAAATAGAGAAATAGATTAAGTAGGAGAGAAAGAGATAAAATAGATAAATAAATAAATAAATAAATAAATAAATAAATAAATAAATAAATAAATGAGAAAGAAAGAAAGAAAGAAAGAAAGAAAGAAAGAAAGAAAGAAAGAAAGAAAGAAAGAAAGAAAGAAAGATGAATGTAAGCAACTATACTCCTAACAGGGTTGGGTATGGTTTGTGGTCTTTTCGATACCAGTGCTAAATCGATGCTTTTAAAACGGTACCAGTGCCAAAACAATGCCTGGACTAATACTTTAAAGCCCCAAAATTATTTGACCAAAAAATTATTATAGTTGAACAATATACTTAAAGTTTAAAGAATATGTCAATTCATATTTTACATATGTGAATTTAATTGCATTAATATATTTCTTTTGATCATTTGTTTGTTAGCATGAATTAAAGATTTGCATTACGGAATTAGCATTACATTAGCTTACTATACTATACTGTGGAAAGGCTTATATCAAAACCAGGGAACACCTTTTTCAAGGGTTGGGGCTTGTGACTACGTATACATGGACATCAGTTATGGAGTAATTTGCCTTAACCTCTTAAAGGTTCACAAAACCCTTGAGTACTTTTTTTGAGATTTTGTGATGTGTTTGTGTTGAGCATCAGTTAAGACAATGTTAGCACCTGTCAGCTTTAATTGTGGGGAAAACTGGATAATTTTGAGCTTTTGTCAGCTAATTTCAGCTTCCGGGTTTAAACTGATTTTTGGGGCGGATCAAAATCGGTGACGTAGCACAGAACTGCAAGTGCAAAGATGACGCATCGGTTTCTCATTATTATTCATAGCGGAGTAATTATTCATGACTGCATGAGCTTTCCGAAGGCAAGCCAGACCTGCCAGTGCCAAGCTGTGAGATACTGACCTACGGCACACAGTATTTAGCTGTTCATGAAGGCTCATATGTGTTTGTTTGCATGATCCACTGGGTTTGTTGCATGTTTTCCCCTTCGATCCCATCAGGGTCGATACAGCAAAGCTGTTTGTGTGCAGCAAGCATTTTAGTCGGGAGCGGGTTACGAGAATTGGAGAATGGCGGACGTTGTCTTCTATCAGGAGTTCGTTCACATTTAGACACATCGCCGTGCTGCTGTGTTCGCCTAAATCCTTTAGAATACCAGGAGGGCTAATAGTTAAAATAGACCCTTTAAGGCTCAAGGTGTTTTTTTAAATGCATTTTTTATTTTTTATCGCTATTTGAGCTTATTGGAACCTAATTAGAATAGAAATCAAAGTATTATCTTTTGATATGATGTAGTTTTAGAGAAAATGATGTCCAAATATGTGAACTTGTGGACCGAATTTGCATAAAAATATTTTTCCTGACTGTTTTTATATGCATTTATAACATAGACATTTTTTTTTACTTGCTTTGACTATAGGAAAGGGAGTAATTTCGGGAGTTTCATTTTTAATTTGTAGAATTGACTTTCACTTTCATTCAGGAACATTTCTTGCATGCCCGTGACAAACTGAGGTATTGGACGTGATTATTAAGTTAGGACTGCTGAAAGTGTAGTTTTAATGTAGTTTGATAACGAACCCCGAATGGAGAGAAAAAACCTCCACATCTTGTGACTCGGGTGTCTTTGGTCCTTTAAGGTAATCAAAAATCTCAGTTTACATGGTCGACTCTTAATCAGAGTATTGTCTAAATCAAATTTAAATCAGAGTGTTGGTGTCCATGTAAACATAGTCAGTGAACGTGCCTGATGATGATGTCTCAAGCCACAAATGTTTCATTAGTTTGATGCGTTTCCCCCCTTAAGCATGGTTTATACTTCTGCGTCAAGTGACCGGTGTAACCCATGGCGCATGCAACGAGTGTAGCTGTGCATTTATACTTCTGTACGCCGTCTCAGTTGTTCTGTATTAACACTTCCGAAACACTAGCTGGCAGTGAGGTGTAAATGTTCCTCTGTGTCGAGTTTCTTCGCTGCTGTTTGGTTTGTTCTGAACACTTCCTGAATGTACAAGTGGCTCAAACTTGCTCATTTTGAGGCAGGAACCAGCAGACGGGCAACAACTTTAACTATGACAAAACTTTACATCCGGAGCTCCTTCACGGGACTCCACACTTGCAAACAATCGCTCAATCGGTCTCGCGCCACTCTCGGTCCCGCCCAGACTTGTCAGCGCTACCAAGCCGACCAATCACAGAGCTTGCGCTACGCGTCGTTGCGACGTGTAGTTACATTTTTTGAGAGGTGCACATCAGCGACGTCCAACGGCCACGGCGTAGGGCAATGCGACGACGCGTAGGCTGCGCTGTAGCTTATGCGTGCGCTTGATGCAGAAGTATAAATCAGCCTTTACACGCAACTTTTGTAAAGCATCCGCTTTACATTGCTGTGTCTCATTGCTAATGTATAGCCATACATTAGAAGGCTTAGTTTAAGCTAATTAGATGAACGTGATCATGCGTGTTGAAGGGATGTGCCGCCATACTGCACGCATTGCCTTCTATATCTAAGCAACAAGAACATTAGTGGCACTGAAATTAGGCAGCGAAAGTCATATGCTGATTCGGTCTGGTGCATACCGGTTACATATTTCGGTACCCAACCCTATTCCTAACATTAAATGATCCATAACTGTAACCTTTTTGAGAGCTGGTCTGATGATTTCTTTTGTCTCTCAGCAAGGGTTTGGGAACATTGATGGTGAGTACTGGCTGGGTCTGGAGAACATCTACTGGCTGACCAATCAGGGCAACTATAAACTGCTGGTGACGCTGGAGGACTGGAGCGGCCGCAAGACCTTCGCTGAGTACGCCAGCTTCCGCCTGGAGCCAGAGGCAGATTTCTACAAGATGAGGGTGGGTCGTTATCATGGCAACGCTGGCGATTCAATGACCTGGCACAATGGGAAACAGTTCACCACCTTGGACCGAGATCATGACGCTTACACAGGTATCAGTCTTGCCATATCCCAAAATCAGCAGTTTTCAGTATTTTGTGATTGGTTATTTTTCCTAACTGTTTTCTGCTTTTGAGTTGCATTATGGGAGCTTGATCTTTCTTCAAACAACTTTTAACCTTGAAAAATTGGAAAAAGTGACTTTTGTGAACATGTTTGACAGTTTGCAGTGTTATGTTGTCTGGGTTGGAGTTGTATATTACGCTACAGGAACCTTGTAATAAACTGCAGCACATTTTTTTGTTACCCCAAAGACTTATTTTTCTACATATTTCTTAAACATTATATTATTTTAAACGACTAAAATGTCAATAAAAGTCACTTTGTTAAACTGTAGAGTTGAATTTACAACATTAAAAGTCGACAGAGCAGAGATCAACATCCCATAATGCAATTCACAACAATAAATAAACAGAAAACATTTGTGAATTACAAAATACACAAACTGCTCATAACCAGATCTTTATTACAATGCTGCACATGTCCTGGACAACATATGAAGAGTTCAGATGCAAAATCCTCTAAGTGACATCTGAATTTTTTTCTCTCTAAAATTAGTATTTTCTCAACCTCTTATGTTCATGTTCAGCCTTTGAAAAATAAACAGAAAAATTAATTAAAAGATACTCATTTTAGTAGAAAATATGAGCATTTAGAGGTTCACTCAAATTATGATGAAATACTGTTGCTCTTTTTAAAACAACTTGTTTTAAATGACCTGAAACAATACAATTCTTGTCATTTATTTAGATAATATATTTGTTTTATGTTCAAGCCACTTATATTTGGGAAATATTAAGTTGGTTATTTTTTTTTTTTTTTTTTTTTGCATTGACACAAAATATAGGAATTAATAATTCCCAGTAATTCAATAAATGACAAACACTGTAATTCCTAGCATGCATTGCGTGGGATTTAATTAAGAGGGGGAAATGTTGACAATAAAAGTAACCTTAGGTGCTTTACTGTAATTTAAGAAAAAGACTTTGGGGCTGTTCCAATACCATCTCACAGCAATTTTTAACTTTTTGATTTAGTGGCTAATTGATATGAATGTGTACGATCTAATTCGTACCATTTAGTATGATTTGCTCATCAACAAATGACGGTTGGGGTTATGGGTGGGGTTAAAATACGTTTCCTCGTGAGATCAGGCTGGCTGTTCACATTTCATGTCTAAAACCATGTGGAAAGTGCAAGGGGTGTCACTTCCTTCACCAATTCCAAAGCACTTTGCACTCACGCTGCCATAGCGTCTGTCGTTGCTAGGTGATTATCACAGTTTTCTCACAGAGAATGACAAACCATTGCTGCAGCTCTGATACAAGTTTGTTAACAGAGAAAATGAAAGAACACTGCAGTGTTTGGGTGAGGTACAATCAAAAAATTAGTTTTGCGGTTTGTTCAAACTACTTGTTTTAAATGAGCTGAAACAACACAATTCTTGTCATTTATTTAGACAATCTATTTGTTTTATGTTTAAGCCACTTATGTTTGTAAAAGATTAAGTTGATTAAATGTTTTTCTTTTTTTTGGAACAAAATATAGGAATTGTGTTGATGTAACCTGGTTAATAATTCCCAGTAATTCATACATTGTAATTACCAGTGTGCTAGTGCATGGGATTTAATTAAGAGGGGGAAATGTTGACAATAAAAGTAATCCTAGGTGTTTGCACTGCAGTGTTTGGGTGAAGTACACTCATTGCTAGGCTGTTTTCTCGGAAGATGACAAACACTTGCTACAGTTCTGATACAAGCTTTATTTATGGAGAAAATATGTTTCCACTGTTTGGATGCTCTGAATTTGTCTGAGGTAATTAGTCTATCGTTATTTTTGAAACGTGTATATTCCTCAAAAATACTCAAAGTGCAGTCACAGCATTTGAAGAACTTAACATGTTTTCATCTTGATGCGCCTGGAAAACATGTGCACATCGCTCCCTCTTTTGCATGCACAAGGCACACGCCTCTACTGGAAATAACAAATCTCTAGGCACAAAATATGCGATAGGCAAACAGCCCCTTATAAAGTTTAATCATCATTTAGTTTAAAATTTAGAAGAGTTTCATTTACTCTTTTTTTTTTGTGTCTACAAAAATTTTCCACCAACAGTGAGACTATGTGTACACCTACTCATTGTCTTTTACATATAACTGTCAACATTGCAAAATTGTGTATTGTCTTGTTTTTTGGATGCATTTTGTATTTGTAAAGTCGTTGTATTTTGCACTTGTTAGAAAAGTTTTTCACTCATCTTGGCACACGTGCTGCTGATGATGTGACAATAAAAATGATTTGATTTGATTGTTAGTTTTGAGATTACCAATTTGCAGAAGAGTAGCACTCATGTTTTGGCAGTTTAAATGTCAATTATACTGAAATGGTAATCACAGGTGTTGTATTTAACCTTGTGGGCGGAGCTACTCTAAGTTTATACTAGGTATTTGACATTCACAATATTTTAAATCACACAGGCAGATCATTTAATCTAATAAAAAAATAGTTTTTAAATGAGATAAACATTATTAAAATAAAATACATTTATATGAGATAAAATTAAAGATAATTCTCAAAATTAACTTAACTTTTTTTTTATTTAGGGGAGAAAAAAAAACCTAGAGTTTTCTTTTAAGGTATTTTGCCTTTAATTTCCATAACTGAAATGCAGAAATAGACCATTGAATCTTTATTTTCTCTCCTCCAGGAAACTGTGCGCACTATCAGAAAGGTGGCTGGTGGTACAATGCCTGTGCTCACTCTAATCTGAACGGCGTGTGGTACCGCGGTGGACATTACCGCAGCCGCTATCAGGACGGTGTTTACTGGGCAGAGTTTCGCGGAGGATCCTATTCCCTGAAGAAGGTCACCATGATGATCCGACCAAATCCCAACACTTTCCATTAGTACACCAATGCATTAGAAGGAAAAATGCACAATATACACAATAAAAATGTCTATTAATTAACAGTTTGCGTATTGTGTGATTCACAAGTGTTTATTTCATGTTGTGAATTGCATTATGGGATGTTAATCTCTGCTCTGTTGACGTTTGATGTTGAAAATTCAACTCAGTTAAACAAAGTGACTTTTATTGACATTTTAGTAGTTTGACACAATTTGTAAGGAATAATATCTAGAGAAATAAGTCAGTAAAATAACAGAACATATACTGGCAGATTATTACAAGGTTTTTGCAGCGTAATATACAACAATAACCCAGACAATTTATCACTTTAACCCCATACTGGTCACCATCCCAATAATGGAAAGTTTAGCTTTACTTCCCTATATTGCAATTCCTAACCTAATCATGAACTACATATAGTTGGAAAGGTCATATTTTACTGTGGTACTATTTCCGCAAACATTTTTTTAAACATAATATTACAGTCTAAACTTGAAGCAATTATTTGAAAGCGTAACATTTCAGATTTTTGTTAGATACTACAGAGCAATAGTTATTTATTAATCTGCGACAGGGATCATCATCAGATTAGTAAAGCATTACTTTGCTACAGAAATCCGCATGTTTTTGTAAAAAAATTTAGATGCTAAAATCAAATCAAAAACCACCAAACTCCCCGTACTACTTTAGAGTTTTATATTTTCTTTACAAATACTGTAAAAAGTATGAAAATATATGGTTGATGTACCTCAAAATATACAAAGAAATAGGGGGCGCCCTCAAATGGCAACCAATGAAAAGTGAATGTCAACGTCTGGTACTGCGGCCAAATAAAATTATATATATATATATATATATATATATATATGATAGCCCTTTTTTTTGATATCTACAAATACAGAATATAATTTGTTCAGATAAAAAAGAACTAAAATAGGTTTCATAAAATACATATTTAATGCAATATTATATATATATATATATATATATATTTTTTTTTTTTTTTTTCAGAAACTAAAGCCACATAACTTTATTCGACTTTACCTGCAATATGACAAGTGTCTTCTTTAAAGTGAGACTAAGCTTAAATCTATGCACCAAAGCGCTCAAAAAAGTACAGTTAAGGAGTTAAATTAATAAAAATTTACATAAAAGTCACTTTTTTTAAACATTTCAAGGTTAAAAGTTGTTGGAAGAAAGATCAAGCTCCCATAATGCAATTCCAAAAGCAGAAATAAACGAGGAAAAACAACAAAACATGAATCACAAAATACGAAAAACTGCTAATTTATGGATGTTTTTTACAGTGTAACACCACCAAAAAAAAAAAAACGCAAAAAAAAAAAAAAGGCGCAAAAGAAACATTGTGAAAAATGCAATGTTTTATATTTTGCTAATTATTAATTGTTTACTTACGGTCTTTAAAATTCATAGTCATACATATCCAAATACACAACTATGAAAGTGCAATGAGTCGATGATGAAGACGCGACTCTCTGCGGGTTTTGTGGACAACGAAGTGCAACAGAAAATGCTAGAAAAAAAACGAAATATGGCAAATTCAGGATTCACATGAACTGGAAGCCGCATTATACGTCTGTATCTGGTCAACTCATTGTTACTGTAAGAAGTTTAACCTTGAAGAACTGTTATTTTTGAGTTTACATTAGTGCTATAAAACATTACCTGTTACGTATTAATGGAGGCGTTTGGATATATCTGGATGCAATTGATTTGTTTATAGTGCTGACTTTCAATAAAGGGTGCGTTGCAATTGTGCCCTGCAAGATCTGTGAACATCTTAAGGGGATTTTGTTTTTGTTTTTCATGCAAAAAAAAGCTAATTCTGTCATTGTTTAGAGGGAAATGTATCTTAGTTGTTATGTATGTACCTATTTACGAGATGAATTGCAACTATTTAAATCAGTCCCTGAAACCGTGGTTCAATTATAAGCCAAATAAAAGTAGGAGGAGAATTC